AGAGAGAGAGAGAGAGAGGGGTGTGAAGGTTCAAACAAAAATACCCCCTGTTTTACGAGAATGTGGAAACATTTATGTGAATCACCAAATTATTTAACCCATAATTAAAATTAAAAGAAAATAAATTAATTAATTAAGGATAATCAACATAGTTTTTCTTTGTGTTTAAGTTGTGTTCTTGTTTTCTAAGTGTAAGATTTTTTTTTTGTAAGGGTGTCCGGGCCAAAGCCCGACTAATCCCCGGCAAATTTGGAGGCTAAACATGGCCCCACTTACATGTCGCCAACACTCCCCTCCCAGGGCTCGAACTCGGGTTCATGATTATGCCATGCCCAAGCCTTTACCACTAGACTGGAAGGTCTTTGACTTTCTAAGTGTAAGATTGTTAGAACAGATTTTAATCTTTTGTTTTCCACAACAATCTTGTTTTCTTTGTGTAATTCTTGATATTCATATCAATAAGAATTAAAATTAAGTGAAAAGTTGTGTAATTATATTCAACCCCCCTTCTATAATTATTTGTATGTTTGTCGTTCTTATTCGGAACTAACAAGTGGTATCAGAGTAGATTAGTTTAATTTAATAAACTTGATCTGTAATGACATCATCTTCCTCTGCTAATCCCGGCACATCTCTCCAAATCCTTTTGTTGGATCATATGATAATGGTTCTAGATCCAAACCACCAGAGTTTAACCCTAGTAACTTTGCCTTGTAGAAAGGTTGTATGATGCTTTTCTTGAAGACGTGGACAACAGATATCCCACCATCCTAAATCGGTCAATGTCACGAATTATCGATGAATGATCGAGTCCCTTCTTTATTTCACTGCTAGCAGACCCGATATTATCTTCGCTACGTATCTATGTGCTCGTTATCAAGCCAATCCAAATGAATCGCATTTGGTTGCGATTAAACGAAACTTTAGGTACCTAAAAGATACCTTACACATGCGTCTTTGGTATCCCAAAGACTCAGGTTTTGAACTAATCTACTATTCAAATTATGACTATGCAGGATCCAAAGTAGATCGAAAGAGCACCACTAGAAGCTGCCAATTACTTGGTGGAAAGTTGGTTTTTGACAGAACAAACATCTATCTACCGATAGCAAATCTTTCTTGCCGGTGAGAGATTTGAAAAGAAAAAAAAAACTAAGAACTCACTTTCAATATAATTTTACCGTCAATTGACTCGATCATATACGATTATGTATATAAATGTTCGAGTAATTTTTTACGGATGATATTACTTTTGATTTTATTCAAACGTAAAATTTAGATTGTGTTTTTTTTTATTAAAAGTTGCAAAAAAGTACAAATCACTAATGCATATGCCGACATTTAAAAGTATAGACAGTAACTATTATGGGTTTGAAAACTAGCGATTCTATTTTTAAAACTATAAGGGTACTTGTACAATGCAGTGAGATACATCTTCATTTTAATATTTCGTTTTATTTTTTGTATCAGTTGATATAATACGGTTTGGGTGGTTTTGAGAAATATAATGTTTTTACTTTTATAAAAAATAAATTTGAAGACACAATAAAAGTTTGAAAAAGTATATCGTTATTATTTAAAGGTTCTTGTTTTTTTACAATTTATTTAATTCAATTTTTATTATAATTTAATTTAGATCAAATAGTGAAGTAATTTATTTTTGGTTTAACAATAAAAAGTTTCTAAAGATAATGATTATATTAGAACTCAATGATTATCTTAATTATATTTTAGATTTTGTATATTTAAAATGAGATGTTTATCTTGTATTTGATTGTGTTTATCTATAGTTAGTTATATGAATTCAAAATGGAGTTTTAATAAGTTGTACTTACGCACAATTTATTTGTAATCTTAAATTTTAAGTAATATGTATCAATAAACAATACTTCATGCATAAAAATGGTTTTTAAGAGTTCTTATCAAATGTTTTATAATATAGTATAGATATCTGGCCAATGAATCAAATGAACCAATGACACTTAGGATGTCTAAGTGTCATAATAGAATACTTTATATGACATAAGTTTATAGGACCAAATAAAAAAATGTCATACCTAAAAGTGTTACAATTGTCTTATAAGATGTTTTTAAGCGTTTCAACAAGTTTTTTAGAAAGATTTTAAAATAAAAGTGTCCTATTTATATATTTATAGAACATTTTTTAAAATTAAAGTGTCGTATTAGTTATTTTATACGACATTATTTGAAAAAAGTGTCATATAAGCACAAATCTCCTATGAACTATTGCAACACTTTTGGATATGACGTTTTTTGATTTGGTCCTATAAACTGAAGTCCTATAAAATATCTTATTAAGACGCTTAGACATTTTAGGCGTCCTATAAAACCAATTTTATCATAATGGATTCGAATATTCCACTTCAAAATTAAGATGTATCCCTCAGCATTACGTGATTATATTGCTAGTAATTCTATAACTAGGAAACCAATAATTTAGAGGGCGTTTCTAGGTGTAACACGGTTATACTTATACTTATATATTATCTCTCGAAACCCTCTCAAATTTCATACAAACAAAACAAAGTATATAACATTTGGTAAGATAAAACTGGACATATTAGAGCAAGTAAAATGATCAATTTATCCCTGATAAGTTGTTTATTTTAATTAATTTATGTAATTTATTAAATTATAATAGAATAATTATTTTTTATAACAAAATGTATCATTTAAAGTTTTCTTCAAAATAATTAAATTGACACCAAATAAAAAGTTTATGTAGTTTTCTATTTTTATTTTTATCTCTTTTCTACATTATTTTTTATTATTAATATATAATAAATTAAATAAATTAATAAAAATATAAAAACCGTATGAAAATAATATTTTGATGACAGTAAAATGAAAGTTTAAGAAACATAAAATTCAACAAATAAAATTTAAAGAATGAATAAAATGTAAAAAAAAAAGACTTATTTGATGTTTTAGAATAGAATTAAGTTTTATTTTGAGGTCATATTGGTAAAATATAAGTCTGTTCCACCTTGTTCCACCATGTTCTATGGGGTAGGGATGAAACAGGCCTGTCCCACTTTGTTTTACTCTGTTCCACATAAAATTCATGCCAAACATGAGATAGAAATCCCTGTCATGTTTTGTCATGTCCAGTGTATCAAACGCACCCTAAGACAACCCAATAAGCTTCATGCTGGACTCTACTTTTAAGTTCCTAGGTCACAACCTAACGTTAGATAAAAAGACAAAAATGTCCTTTAAGTAGAATTTCTTAACGGTTGTTAGCCTGTATGTAGTGGTGATGTATGACAATCGGATCGCTAATAAAACAAAACAAAAGTAAATACAAAAGAAAAGCAACGGACCCGATCATTATATACCAAGTGTCAACGTGACATTGGCTGTTTTTTTTAAGCAGAAAAGGGAGGTTACAGTGTATATATTGGAGAAATGGTCAAAGTCTAATCGATACGAGACTACAATATAAACAATTTCTGAAAATAAATTAATAATTAATTATTTTGAAATAAAATAAATAACCAAAATAAGTATCTTTAAATCACCCTATAAAAACTGTTACCAGATTTTGTACCATTAACTGACAAAACTACATATATGGCCTTCAGCTTCTTAGATGCATTGAGTAGTTGTACCTTACAACTCATAAAAGCATTCCAAGTCTACGTATAATTCTTGTTAATGTACAACCACACGATGCAATATATATTATGATCTGCTTTTCCATCTAATCAGCATCAGCAGTGAAATCTGGTTCCGGAGGCTTTTGCAGTTTCATCAACTCCCTAGCACTCTTCAGGTTCCGGTTTCGATGGACGCCACGCAGAGCGTTGGCGGCAAATCGTGATGCCAAGAAAGTTGCCCCGAGGCTGTAAGAAGCTCCACCACCACTGCCGCCGCTGCCTGCGTTGTTGCGTGCTGCTAACTCCGCCTCCTCCTCTTCCTCCTTCCTCCGCTGCTCCAAAATCTTCCTCTTGGAATATCTCCGCCAGGCCGCCTGAATGAAGCATGCCGCCCATGTCCGCCACTGCTGTGAGTAAAATCGGAAAGTGTGTTGTACCTGTCGACTGTGAAGACGCCGGAACTGACCGGCAACAAATTTCAATTCGTCGGCGGGTAACGCAAATGCCTCCACCTCTCTCAAGGCCTTCACAGTTCTGGTGGAAGACGGCAGGTTGGCGCCGGATTTAGGGTCGAGGGCCCACGTTAGAAGCTCCTCACCACAGAAGTCTCCTTCTTTAAGAAAACCGCTGTTGAAAAAACCGCTTCTGCCGCCATCGGTGGTTGCACTCTCGAGACGACCACGTATGATGAAGAGCATTTCGTCAACAGGGTCTCCTTCTCGGACAATGTACGTATTATTGGTGTATAAACAAGGTTTCAGTCGTTCACAAATAGCATCAAGCAACCTCTCGTCCATGTTTTCGAACAAGGGAACCTGCAAGACGATTGGAGTAATGAACGTGTGACTATTGACCAAATATCTAAAATATCCTTCAATAAAGACAAAATAAATAGACCTTTTGGACCTAAATTAATGCCATCTATTCAAATTGCATTGATGAAAAGGGCAAGTATGTAACTTCAAGTATATCAAGCATGTGAATAGAAAGAATATGGTGATGAGAATGAAAGATTCAAAGATGTTTAACATTTGAAGTTGAAATGTCCATTTGGCACTAGAACATTATCGGCTTTAGAGGCGGCAAAAAATGTCCAAATAGACTGTTTTATTAACTTACGTTTATGGACCAAACAATTGTGCGTCCATTTGTAAATGTGTTGCATTAAGTTGACATACGCTTTTGGGTGTCCTAACAAGTTTTTGATAAATTTAAAATAAAACGTCTTATTAGGCTTTCTACATGACATTATTTGAATAACTTCTTATAAAAACAGGTGTCATGTAATAAGATGTGTGCATAAGACACCACGCAGAAGTGTCATATAAAAAAGCTAACAGGACACTTTATTTAAGAAGTGTACCAAAAAGCTTGTTAGAAATTAGGATGCCCAAATAAGTTCTAACATCCTATTGTAAACACATTTACCTATGATGCACAATTGTTTGGTCTTACAAACATAAGTCCTATAACTTAGTCTATTAGGAACCACAAGGGTGGTGCCTGATTGGTTTGAGTTTGGCTCCAAAGGTCAAAAGTACCAAGAGGTCCCAGGTTCAAATTCAAGAAGGAATAAAAATCTCCTTGTCGCCACGGAGATTCAAATGCGGTGACTCCGGGCTATCTGCAAAGCAAGTGGTCGCCCTGGGATTAGTCGGCTCGCATAGCGGGTTGGATATCCAGGTTAATCAAAAAAAAACTTATCTATTAGGACACTTGGACATTTTTGGCATCCTATAAAGCTGGTTTTGTCGTAGTTGGTAAAAGGCGGACCATCCTTCAAGTATTTGATTGTTATAAGAGGTGGTAAACGAAAAAAAAAAGGGTATGAAATCTTCTGTGAATAGCCAAGATAAATAATAATGAATTACCCTCTTGACCAAACCAAGACAAAGATGACGCTTAATGTCCCTTCTCAGATCCTTGGGTAGATTCTGAACCAAATTCTCCTCGTCCACTCCACGAGTTTCCAACCACTTGTACTGATCGTAGCGTCTTACACGCTCCCGGAGATCCTGTGGAAGTAACCGATGATGCATCCACTGCTCTGAGTCACGCCTCTTAACTCTCATCTCTTCAAGTCGGATAGTAAGAGATTGAAGATACGTCTGTTACAGCAAAAAAACGCTTAACAACCCAAGTTAAATCAATAAACATGACAAAATGGGTCAATTTAGAGCAAAAATGACTCATTTGACAACCGTTTTCAGTGATTTTGGGTTATAATGGGTCCACAAAAGTTTAAAAATGGCTTGTTAACGTTGAACACATTCTTAAAAAAGTTGCCTATTTGGACCATTACTCATTTTACTCAAACCGACCCACCCNCCCCTTCCCCAAGTTTGCTATATTTAGATATCAATGACAAAAGAAGATTTTAATGATCACACAAGGCATAAAGACGGTATCCTAACACTTGCCAACATCTTCATCACATCCATTTTGATCCTACAAAATTTTAACCCGTTCAGAAACTTTATGGTGCTAGATATCGGATTTAGATATAACTTCATCAGAAACAGATTGGTGGTCATGTCATGCCTACAATGGTGTTTATATTTCCATCTTCTAATTAAGCAAATAAATTCCAATAATACAAAGTTTATGACATAACAATCAAGCACCATCAACCAATGTCACATGTTTGTTGTATGCTTAGATAACTAACAACATTGCCACCCAACTTCTCTACAATGGTCAGGAGGTGGTAGCCAACTGCTTCATAGGCTCCCAAAAAGGTCCAGTTTTGATTTTGCAAATTCAAATAGTTCAATGTGGTTATCAACAAATTTGCAGTTCTTGCTTGAACAAAAAAGAATCGATTTAATGTTAAAAGATTATTCATATAGAGCTTGTTTGAGATGGTAAAAAAGAGACAACTCATTTATAGTCGAAATCAAAATCCTTAGGAACTATGTATTCTCTGTCATCTTCTGTTTTCGACTTACTCCCGTCATCACATCTCAATATATATTATGGAACTGACATCAGAAAACCTCAATCAGAATTCAGAACGGATACATAGGCGGACCTACTCCAGCTGGGCATGCATGAGCATAGTGCATACTCCAAAAAAAAATTGTAACGTTTTGGAGTGTATAAAAATAAATTTCTTATTTTAGTGCATTCTCTTTAAGTTAATTGTTATAATAATGCATACTCTGAAATCGTGGAACCACCAAAGCAGTAACAGGCCTTAATGAAGCAAAAGTAACTGAGGAAATAAACAAAAATGATAAAGGAGCTCATAGCAGTGTCACCTCTCATGGTTATTTTGTATAAGAAAATTCAATTAAAAAATTACAGGGTGAATATAAATTTAGCCACAAAAAAATTCCAGCATTTATATTTTAAGCACTGTCCAATAGTTCTGAATAATATGATCTACTGCTATTTTGCTACAATCTGAGCAGTGCCTCGTCTTCTGCTAAATGTTATTGTATACTGGGGGAATGGGGGCAAGGCCTTATTGCAGATTATGAAAAAGAAAGTGAACTTACTTGGCCTTAGATGAATCTTTAATTGATTTTGCAAACCCTCAGAGTTGAATGGAGTACAACTCTATCCGTTTCCGTTCTACTAAAATCACAACTCAAATGCAAGTGTTTGGGATTGACAATTGACAGTAATAAGCAGCAAGTTTTACAGTTTCATAATGGGTGAACAAGATGGTATTTACTATTTAGTTACTAGAGATAATTTCTCTGCAAGAAGTTATTTTCGTTTGTAAACTCCTTTGGCCACTCCGTCATTTTAGGAGCTATTAAAAACCTTACCTCCCCCCCCCCCCCAAGAAACATGTGAGGCCCATCAGGTAGTTTCAAAAGTTCTCAAGTGTCACAGTTATATAATAATAGAAGTTTTAACAAGTGAACAGCCGGTTACTTTGTGAAATCAGGTGTGAACTATGCCCCTCAAATCCAATTACATCAAGAACGAATAGAGGAGCAAGAACAGAAGTCATCAATGGATATGAAGACCCGATATGAACACCTAACTGACTAAGCAAGAATTACATCCTCTCTTTTCTGCCCACCACTCCTAGCACCTAACTTATGCAACGAAAATGGGGGAGTAAAAAAAAGAAAGAACTTGAAAGAGACGAGAATAATTATAAAAATGAAACACGACAAGACTAGTTCATGCTCAAAAGTAAACTGGTAAGTGGTAGTGAGTGACGTAACCTGCATATTGCCAATCAACAGAGCAAAGAGAATGAGCCCAAATATGGCTAGCGCAATGGAAAATATAGATTCTCCAGGATAAGTGCTGGTTTGAAGTCCCTGACCAAGAGTGCTGCCATTGAAAAGAAAAAACCTCATCAGCCAGTGATTGTTCAACGTTTCAATACAGGTAAAAGTAATCTTAGCAACTAACGTCGTCAATTAGAATATATATTTTAACAGATATTCATGTTGATGCTTCAGGAGTAATAACATCATGATTTGTACCCTAATATAGAGAACATTTCATTGTCAGTAGCAACCAATACCAATAGAAAAATTCTGGCAAGCAAAAACAAAAATTTTCCACATTCTTAACTTTCTTTCCGCTACGCAATTAGACTTGCAAGTTTTCACTTTATGAATAGAGCATATCTTCCAGCCTCTTCTATCAAGGGATGATTGGGTGGTTATAAAAATTTACCTTATACACAAGGAAGTTGATTTGAAGTATATATATATAACTTTTTTGCTATTGACAAATTGAAATAATATCTTTCCAAATGCAATGAAAAGGCTGCATACGTAGACTTCCCTCCCTACCCCTCGCTACCAGAGAGCCTTGGTGGACCAGAGACACCCTTTTATGCTCTCAACAATATAGTAACTGAAGAATACTAGTAAAGCCTACTAATAGGGAAATGCGTCAGTGAGTGCATCAGGCAGAAGGTAGAATATACTCGTAGAGTGAGTGCGTCCATCACCCGTTTACCGAGTAAGACTCTCAGTCATTCTTTTGCTCTTACCGGGTAAGATTATTGGTCCTTGCCATATTCATCTGTTAAGGTATATAACTTGGCAAGCCCTTACCGGGTAAGCGTTTGGTAAATGGCCCCTAAGTCTCATGAGAATAGATGCATCTCAAGTCCTGCTAAGAACCATAACAAAATCTTAAAAGGAAGAGAAAATATAATATTACCTCAAATTCTGTAGCCCCCACCACAGGCAGTAGCAATACTTTGAAACAAACTTGGTAGATGAAACAATGTCTGATGATAGAGCCTGTTGGAAAATCCCAAAATCAAACGGTGGGTTATCCCCATCTGGGGAGCAAGCCTCTTTTAAAACAGAGCTACTGATATTTCTCCAGCTAGCATAACCCTTCATGTGGTCATTTCCACAGTATAAGAAATGCGTATCATGCTTGCTTTTTTTACAAGCTCCCTGCCAGCATGTGTCATTACGTTCTACAGACAACAAATACCAGAAGGCCCCAACTATCTGAAAAAGAAAAATAGTTAACGACATTGACCTTAACTAATTGCATAAGGGTATGAATCAACGTACCATGTGGAAGTACTGAAGTTGAATTTCTATGTCTAAAGTGAAGTTGGTTACTATAGAAATTTTCAAGTTTAAGTTTTATGATTTTGATGCATTCAAGTTTATATTGATATAAACTAACAATCACGCAGCCTAATTCTTTGTTACCTCAAGTGTTGTACAATAATGCATCAATAAGCATGTGCATCTTAATACGATAATACATATTGTATCACCTAATGTAATCCTAACTGACAAAAAACTTATGATAACAGGCCTAAACAGTTGCTTACGTGACTGGCAAGCATGTACAGCAACAGATAGTAAGCAGCACCCGCCCATGCGGTTTCAGCAATTACACCAGCAGTCCTTTTAAGTTCTGATGTCAAAGGCACGATTCGAACAAATCTGGGAACATACTGAAGCAACACAATAATAAGTAAGGCTTGTTTTGTAGCCAATACATCTGAACCATTAGACCTCTGCAGAAATCTCCAAACAACAATCTGCAAAATTATAAAATAACATTATACACTTAGCAAACTTTGACGATCCTGCATATTCTTTATTAATCAGTGAAAACCCCCAGTATAAAGAATAAATATCTTCTCCAAATCACACTGGAGATCTAATTGCATTTATGCAATGTTCTCGTTATCAAAACTCGGAAGGCAAAACCTCTACAAGCATAAGTAGATGGCAAGTTCAGAGAAGCAACCAAGTAGATAAAGAAAGACAAGGCTCTCCTGTGGTTGGTGAAAAATAAAAAGATCAGTGATCCACAAAGAAGCATTTCTTTACCCATTTGCAGTGGTGCTAGATGTATGACCTAATACAATTGAGAAGTTCATAAGAGGGGCATGTTTCCAACGAACTGAAACATGCCAATAGCACCACTTCTTCAACTCTCAGCAGCTAAACCCAAACCAAGGGAACGAGTGGACTGCACTCGCACCTGTTTAAGGTAGCTAACAAATGGACCTACATGGCACTCGTCCAGCATCGGCCTCACATAGTAGCAGTGAAATGGGGTTAAAATGAAACAATTTTATTCTTTGAATTTTAAAATATCAGACAAGTTAGTTATCAAGTTTAAGGTAACTTCATTATCTAACCTGGGGCAGGGGGACCACAGCAAGGAAATCAATGATAAAGTACCACCGCAGGTATCTCTTAGCAATTTGTGCAGGATCTATCACAAGCTCACCCCGTCCAAATACCCGAGATGAAGGGGCAACGTAAGCAGTTCGGAATTGAAGAGCCATGTGAATAAGATAGAAGGCATCAACAACAGTCCGGAGGGTTGTGGCTGTGATGGCTAATTTTCGATCTATACCAAGGCACTTCTTTGATTGATCAAAGACTGGAAGATAGAAGAACAGTGGATCTATAGACACGGCCAAGATACAGGAGACAACAAAGTATTTATTCCATGTGAGTAGAAATTTATCTTGAGGGTCCAAGATCTTGTTCTCTGACACCTTCAGATCTTCAGGGAACACAGCCCGAGAAACCCCAAACCCAAGTGATCTACCAATAGATTTAAGTCCTTCTGACCCCTTTCTAATTCCATTTTTAAATGATTTAGAGGAGGTAGCAGGTGCACGACCAGGACGGCTTATCCCCTCAAACCCACATTTGTTCATTGCAACTGAAGAGGCAGGTGATGATGACCTAGAATCCAAATCGTCCAACCTTCAAATGCAAAATAAATGTAAGGAAGTAGTTGATACCAGAAGCAACACAAGGCGAAGAAAATAAAATGTAACAGGTAATAACATACAATAAATTGGAATAGAACCACTTAGAGACAGCAGCAGGTTATAAAAGAACAGACATATATAAAGAATAGACATATAGCTTAAGTGTTAAAGCTTTGGGGTATACTGGAATAGCAATAGATTAGAACAAAGAATCATGTGATTAACATCCACCAGATTAACAGCTAATTTATTTGTATTAATGCACCAAAAATATTATTAATCCACAACTACAGAATCTAGATGTGATGACCTGGGAAAAGAAAGGCCGTGTCAAAGGTTCCTTTTTTTATGCTTTTAATGATCATAACTGCCATCATATCAAACCAACGACAAGTCTCCTGCACATGACGTGACAAAAAGCATTCACTGCAGATAATCTAACAAAAGGTTGTCACCTTCCCATTTTGATCAATGTCTTCAAAAGATGGAATCCAAATTAATATAGACCAGGTAAAATTTTGAAATTTGTCAATATCAAGCAATGGGTTGTGAACAATTTCTGGTCATACTGAACATTGATTATTAAGTAGTGTTGATCTTTAAGCATGCAACCTATGCCGTTAGAGCAGTGAAAATACAAAATTGCGGTCAGGACCGATATCTAAAATAACGGTTATAGCGGTCCAAAAATAGCGGTTCATATAATATTTCCTAGAATTATATACTATATATGTATGTATGTATGCATACATAAACATATCATATGCATTAATTAAAAATATAGTTTCAAAATCAAAACATCGACTTAAACAAGTTTCACAAAACAAAATAGGAAAAATGTTCATAAATGAGCTAATTGCAAGCAATAGGATCAGCATCCCAGCCAACATAGTCCTAAAGAGGCCCAAGGTAAAATATCGGAATATCGGTCCACAATTTCATCTCAAATATCGGTCAATTGTGCCGCTAATATCGGAAATGCAATTTTCACCACAATTTGACCGCGACAATTTTATCTTAGTCAACAATCCACTATTGCAATGCAATAGCGCCACAATTAACAGCATAGCATGCAACCCATATACTTGGCCATCTACCACATTTCATCCTTTCAACCGCTTCTAAAATAAAAGATATACCAACATGACGCAATAGCTCTTTTCAGAGTGATCGCTTCCATCCTAAGAGACTCTGATATGATAGCTTGACCAATGCAAGTCAGCTACTCAGTAGAGTTATATCTCTTCTCTCTCCGTTTGATAGTTCTAATCTTCAGAAAAGATTAAGCTGGCCAGAAATAACCAAAATCTGCATAATTTAATCTTGAATTTTCCAAATTTTACCAGTTTTTGGATCCTGTGAGTTATTAACTTTCGCTACATGGCCTTTCAAGTATTAAGCACCTCAACTTGTACGAAGAAGTTAGATTTAAGTGATTCAATGCAAGGGTTCGCTATGTTTAATATGTGCAGAAACAATCCATGTGGAAGGGTTGAATATTACCAAATTTTACAATTGTACATATATGTTCAATCTGCTTTCACTCGTGCTGTGTGATTTTAAACAAAGAGGCCTAAAACATTATCTGTTTGAACCTCTATATACCCAAGTTAGTGGTAGAGTAGTGCACTTCCCTATGAATTACAGATGCACTTGCTTTGTGCTCCTTTCAATCATATGGCAATATTTTTTAATAGAGTAATAAGATTATTATCTTGAGCTACAAGGCACCCAAGTGTATATGTTAAAAGTACACAAGCTATGAATAGTGTCTTGATGATATTTTAAATAAAAAATGATTACCAACAGGAGTCGAGAAAGAAACATTCTAGTCAACCTATTACAAAAATGAAGAGGCTCTAAAAACTTTGCTAGCATGTCTTTCACTTTTCTTTTACTGATCCATTGCTTTCCAGAATGGATAAGTGCTAAATAAATTGCCTATAGCAGCACTTGCTTCTCAATACGAAGCACAAATCCATGTAGCCTAGATCGTCATGCAACCAAAAAGTGGAACATGAGTGAAGAAAGAAAATGTATTTATGCTCAATCTTGGGTGCATGCAGTTGCAATTTAATGGCATCTAAGCATTAGACATTTACAAGTTATACTCCATTCCATGCAAGAGAAAGCCTAAACCATGTATGCATTATAACAAGTTCCTTAAGGTGAACAGAACATGGACAGTATCCAAGATTAGAGGTGATCCAATACCCATTACCAAATGCAGAGGCTGGCTAAACTCGGAGAGTAAAACAAGAAAAAAAGAATTACCTCGCAAACTTCTCCCTGTGGCCACCAACATATTGGGACTTTGATACATAGTCGAACATTTTGCCAAATTTAACATATAAATCTCAACTGCAGGCCAATAGAAGAGATACAGTTAAGGAACTCGTCTGCAAATGCATAGGTAAGAATGCAATACACCTTAAGTCCTTAATCCACACTGTTGGGGGTTTCCCTTCTTTCCAGAGAGAAGACAAACCTATATCTTTACCGGAAAGGCTATGCTATTTCTACAGGTAGTTTTGGATCTAAATTGTACACAGCCAGACATATAAAAGAATGATAAGATATTAAGACATTGAGGTGTTCTCCTCCCACTCTCCTCTGTTATGTCATCTCTCCTCCCTTTTATGAAACTTTGCATGCCCCTATTTACTCCTTCTCTCTTATCTTAGATTGCAATATTGTATACTTACAGTGCCTGATAATTAAGAAGAAGAATTTAAGAAAGCATGATTGAAAAGCAAAAATAGAAGACAAATTTGAAAAGAAAGTGTCGAACAATTAACATATATGGAACACTGGTGTACCAAAAAACCTCACTCAAACAGGTCTGAAAGGAACTGTAATGCTCCCTCCAAATATTATTTGTTCATTATACCTCCTTGCCTATTCAATAATATATGTCCATCTCCTTTTCAAACTTTATTTTAGCTTAGCGGTATGCTATTTCACGTAGAACTCTTTTCGAGAAGCAACTTATCTGCTAGAATTACCATTACCAATACACAGAGTATAGAAGAAGCCAAGAAAGTAGGACGAGAGGCATGAGAAGTTGTACTCGATCAGAGAGAGCATAAACTAATTAATAGTAAGAGAAAAAAGTGTGATAAAAAATATAGTAAAATGGACTAACTACTATGGGATAAGAGAGTACATGGAACTGATGAGTATTATGAGGCTCACAGGAAGAAGGCAGTCCATGTTTCTCAAAAATGAAGCACTCTGCTACTACGGAATGTACATGTAGCATTACAGTTGTGCATGCACAGGTATAAGAGGTGAGAGTACAACCCATAACTGGGAACTACTAATTTTCTAGGGGAACGGTCTTGTTTTAACATTTCTTCATATATTACGTGTTCCCTTCAAATGGCTAAACTTGATGTCTACAATTTACATGTGCGTAGTTTAGGGAGGAGATTTTATCAAGGCTTTCTTCAATATAATTCTTCACCATCCGGAACCACAAAGTGAAAAAAGACTAAGATTGAGCAACATCACAACTTGTATGAGTAACAAAATGTAAAATACATGTAGTTTTAATGAATTTAGGATATCCAGTATGCACAAAAGGGCAGTCATGTACAAATAAGAAAACGTTTCACTTTGTGAATTCTCATTATTAATATCTTCTTGAGATTCATATTTAATAAATCATTGTTACTTATTTGGCATCCTCTTTATTGTTTTGAAAGCATGAGACTTCACTCCTAAAAGATATTCTCGTTTGATTTCATTTTCATTCATTTCGTAAGTTTCCAGATACTCTGACCAGCAAGTGAGATCACCATCTAATTCATATCTTCCAAGTTTCAACCATAAAAATCCTACAATGTCCATTGCCTCCTTCGTCATCAAATTTCTTCAATTGTTGAAGAATCATACGCATTTGTTGATGACTACTAGGATAGAACCTTCAATTTCATAACGCCTACTAATCATAGGTTCAACACAAAAACAAAATACTAATAATCGTAGACACCCAGAACCCCCGAAGCAAAACCTAATCCTTCAATTTCACTTTATTCATTTACAGAACCCAAAAATTCACCAGTACTAGCCAAGTTTCCTTGAACGCATGTACATTAACTTAAACAAACAAAAGAAAGCACCTACTCAAAAGTAACCCTCAAAATTCAAACAAATCTGACCTACCAAAAAAGCTTAACTATCAATTATCAAAGTCAAATACAGTCATCAATTACATCGAATTAAAACTTCCTGAGAAGAAATAGAAAGATCTCTGGATATCATACTCACTAGACTTACAGTGAATTCAATACCGCCGGATTAAATCATCGCCGTCGTCTAATGACTGAAAATTGTTCCGCCGGATATATAGAAGATTTCATACAAAAGAAAGCAACGGAGAAACTGGAAACGCGGAGAAATCGTCAAAACACCGTCATGTTTAAATAAAGAAATCGAAATCAAAAGTAGTAGCAACAAGAGTTTAATGGCGCAAGGGAGGTCACGAAGAATCCAACTGATGGCTGACGGGAGGGTGGGGGGGGGAAGTTGGGTATATGGCCCCTGAAGTTTTACAGTAACTCAACTTGACGCCTCAACTATTAACATAAGTTAGAAGGGTTTAACTTCTTTAAAAACTCTTTATTACCAGTTTCGTACTGGTATAAGTTGTTTATTCAAATATTTAAAAGTGTTTATTATCAGTGTCACACTGAAATAAATCAATAAATTATTTTTATAAACAATCTCAAACACCACCTAAGTAGAATCGTAAACTTAATAAAATTTGAGGGTTAACATGAAATGAAATGGTAATGAATTTTCATTCTTACAAGTTTAATCATGAATGAAATTTTGGGCTTCTGTTGAATGAATTCATTATATTATGAAAAACTAAATAGTTCTTTTATTTTCATTCTCATTAATTACCATCTAATACCTCTAACCAAACATCTCTTAAGGGTCTGTTTGGCTCAGATTGAGAAATGGAAATGAAAATGATCGAGAATGAATTTTCATCCTCACCAGTTTAATCATGAATGAAATTTTGGGCTTCTTGGGGAATGAGATTATTATTATTAATAAAAAATCAAACAGTTTCTTTTATTTTCATTCTCATTGATAATTACCGTCTAATACATCTAACCAAATACCTCCTAAATCAAATATAACTGACGCTTTTGTTATATCTGTTGCTACACATCTGGTAATTTACAGGGTAAATGGGTAATACATAAACATGTTATTTAACCATCAACCAATTAAAATCGCTTAACACATTTATCAAGTAAACTATTTTAGTTTTAAATTCATAATTTTTTTTAAATTTCAACAAACACCCGATAATTACGTAATATATTGCACACTGTGAAAGGGTCGAAATTAAAACTGAATATAAATAAACGGGTAATTCCGATGGAGAATATAAGCTCATATTATAGCAGGTATCTTATACTGTATTCACTAGCTTTGTATAACTATTACTCCACGTTCTATATTCATCACAAAATTCAAACATTTTAACAATACTGGATAAATATTTTCCGGATATGATGACATCATCAACGGTCTTTGACCAATTGACATAATCTGGTATACAAAGTTTATGTTAATAATAATATATTACAACATTTAAGAAGTGACGTTAATTTCAAAGCGACATGTTTTTACACATAAGATAAACATATACTGTCGTCCACAAATATAATTGAGAAATTTCAAATACCGATACGTTTATGGAGTTGTTTGTCTTCGTTTAGAGGGGAGGGGTGGATCGGCATTTGACTTGGCGCCTAACACGTTATGTTGGAGGAGACCCAGGTTCAAATCCGTTTGTGTTGGGCCACGCTCATCTTTCAAAATAGATTGAACTTGTTCGATTCAATTGGAAGGGATTTTTGCATGACCCTTGAAGATTAAACCAATATCGAACTTGATCGTTTAACGTCATGGACTTAAATAGAGGTTTGAGCCTTAAGAATCGGGTGAGAAACACAATATCAAACCAAAGTCAATGGAGCAGTAGCAGTGGTTGCCTGCAACCAGTATTTCATCGAACAAATGAACGTAGTGGTTGTTGCTTTAAAACCATACAGAGTCAGACGTGTTAAGAACTTATTGCATTTAGTAAAAGAAAGTGCTACAAGAATCATATTACAACCAGATGGGTATTGAGTAATTACTAATTGTGAATACATTTGTTTCCATGACTCTTTGTGTATAACACTGATGTCCAGTGGTGCACTGATCACTTATGAGGACGGGTGTTTGCGGTATTAGCTGTACCTGTGGTAACTTTGGCCACATCCAAGGCTGTGGCCTCTGGTTTCTTATGAGCATACAACGTAAGGTAAGCAATGGTACCGATAACCACAAATCCACCCAACATCATCCTAATGGGCGACTTTGGTGCCCCCTTCGAGGTTTGGTGGAGAGTTTGGCCTTGGCGCATTGCCTCTACCTGTTGTGGTGGTTTATCCGCTTGTGCCACCTTCATCACGTTTCCTAGTCTTACCATCTTTACGTTTCTTGTTTTTTCTCTTGTCTTTGTCAAATGTCGTATGCAATCATGTGACGTTTTTGACGATTTCTCTTGGTGGGTTAAGGTCGTTATGAAGTTTAATGGAAGGACGAAAAAGATAGAGAAAACGGGAAAACATGAGAGATAGAGAAATATATGGAGAGAAGAGCTTTATAGGTGATTGACACGTATGAGGCTAACAGTGAATTTAGAAGGTGTTCCTATTTCTAGAAATCAGCTTTTTTTATATATTTTTTCGTTTTCATATTCAAAAATATACGAGTAAACTACAGTTTGGGTCCGTGTGATTTACATCCAACTACGAACAACGTTCATAAACTTCATTAAGTATAGCAATGGTTGACATAGTTTGCATTTTGTTTTGAAAATGGTTCTCTGACTTAACACCCGTTACAATTCACAGTTAAGTGAAAGGCATTTTCATCCTTTAAGCAATTTTTTTACCTGTTAATAGTCTCATTAAGATGCAGCATCTGAATCATTAAGAAATAAATCTTGTTTGGCAGAAAAAAAATCTACCTTTTAATGGTTCTAAAACCCTCTGAATGGTTTTGTATCATAGGCCTCCCTTAACCATTCAGCGCCCTAATTTCATTATCAACAATTACCAAACAATTATATTTCATTTTGCACTATATCATGAAAAGCCTCTTAATAATTCTGACCACTTAATCATTCAACACCAAATCATTCAGCACCAAATCATTCAGCAATTGCCAAACAACCCATTTGTCTTCTGTATTTTCAACAAAATGGCAATGTTTACACATTTAGCAACTTTTTAGAATTAAAATTACACATATACTATAACAATTGTTATAAAATTATTAGGTTCATGCTATTCATCAACTGTATATATTTCCCCTCAACATTCCTCTGCATTCCATAAAACCCAAACACTGGTGGTCTCCGGGCCCACAGCGGCGTGTAACACACCATGTCACATCTAGACCAAACTTGACCACTGTCGTCGTCGTTGAAGCGTCGTCACTTTACAAACAAAAATCATGGTCTATGGACTTCAACTGTGATGAAGCGTGGCTTAGACAGAAAGACAATCACCACCACCACTGCCACGGGCTCCACTGACTCAACCATAGTCTAACAAACCAGCAAAGTCAATGAGCCATTTAAAAAGCAAAATGCAAATCAGAATGACCATTACTGCACTTAACGAAGTTAATTTAGATACGTTGTTTGTACTTAGTGTAAACCGTATGGGCCAAAATTGTAATTACTCAAGATATGCTAACTATAAAATGTACGAGTTATGAAACAAAATCATTTAACATAAAAGATTAGTGGATCGCAATCACATGAAAATATAGGTGATTAAATGAACAGATCAGATAGTTAAATATCATATCAGATTGGATACAAATCAAAAATTAGAAAAAAATAAGATGGGTTTAATATTGATTGGTGGTAATCTTCACTCTTGGATGCACATTAAGATGAGATGCATCAAAATGAGATACACCAGGTCAATCCCCATATCAAACACGATTCATGTGTAAGTTTGAGATTAAAGGTGATCAAGAGTCTAGATCTTTTCTCACATTTCTTACTTTAACTCTCCTTCCACATAAACCCTGAAATCAATATTTTATTTTTATTTATGAAAGAGATACTTAGGGGCTATTTACCAAATGCTTACCTGGGTAAGCCTTTAACAAGTCACATTACTTTATCAGATGAATATTAAATGATCAAAAATCTTACTCGGTAAGAACGACACAAGTACCAAGAGTCTTACCCGGTAAGTGAAAGTGACGACTCTTACCACGGTTAACGCTTACCGGGTAAATTGTTGCATATAATATCGTTTTAGTAGACTAAAATCTTATCAATTAAGTAAATGATAGTGTTAAATATTATCGATAAATGTTTACTTGGTAATTATTTGGTAAATAGCCCCTAAATAAATTATTTAAATTTTAAAAAAAGCCCAAAATTATTCTATTGTTCAAATTAAGTTATCATGACTGCAAGTCTTTTAAAAAGTTTGTATTTATAATATTTAATAGAATATCCAACATTTAAAATAAATATATATTCCCATCTTTTTTGGTGATCTAAAGAAAATACCATATTTGCCCCTTATTTATAGGGGTGGGCTAAATGCACCCCTATGCATTGCTTAATGCACCCCTATCCATGAATTTCTTCCTCACACACATTAACATCAATACATGCTTTTTACATTCTCAATGCCTGAATGACCTGATTCTGACATGAAAGGGGGTGCCATTAGCACTCCCCTATTTATATGGCTAAGATTCTAACTTCTATTTTCATTAATAATCATTAATGATATTGATTTACAAATTTTTCTTTATTAAGAATATTTTTTAAATATTTAATTAATCTATACTACCTTATAAACCAGATTTATCAAAAGTCTTAAACATAATTTTTAATGCACAAAATACTATACATTTATGTGCAAAGTCTTAAAAATCTTAAAAACAACTCATAATTCATTAAGTACTACTACTTTATGCATTCAGTCTTAAAATATCTTAATCTACATTTAAAATAACATATAGTATAAATTATAATGCACATTATTATTTTTTCTTTTCATGTTTCCAATATACTTTTAACACCTTTTACTCATGTATTCACCCTCTCATACATGATACATCTATGTCTTCTCCCCATCACCCAATATGAGATTTAAACTGATATTCACCCTGAGTTATTAAAAGTTCTCTCATTCATCTCACATTCAATTGCTCTAAAACTCTCGGTCTTACTCTCGATCTCTTGATTCTTTGTTTTTGGTGTAAATCGAACACATTTATGGAGTATTTTAAATATGTTGAATTTGAAACTGTCATATAATTTTTTTCATCGATAGACTCTAACTACAACCGTAACTCTTATTTATTCAAATTGTGTTAATATGTAAAGACCAAGTGCATCTTATATCATCGTTAAACCTTCTCTAATAAAACCAGTGAAACTTCAAAATCGTTAAAATTTACAGCTTCCACCACATTGCACGGATACATAACTACTAATTAAAAAAAGAAACTGATGTGATGTTAACATGCATTTATTATTCCCTTTGTTTTTCCCCCAAAGTTTTATGCTTTACAATTTTGACCTGTTTTAGCTTTATGCTTTCTCCAATTGCCCAACCTAAGCAACCTTTTTCATTACGATGTCATAAAATATTAATTACCCCCCAACTTTTGTTTTTTTAAAATAACCCCCAAATAATTAATTTAATTTCAAAAACAGGTCATTTTGACAAGGACCAACCAATCTCTGCCGTACGGGTCCCGCCACCCATCACCGCCGTGCGCCACCCACAATTATATAAGTATCCACGCACCATCCACTTTCACCACCCAAACGAGAAATTGATCGGTGAATCGTATCCCCCCACATTCCATAAAACCCAAACCCTAGCGGTCTCCGGACCCAGGGCGGCCGGCACCACCACCACCACCCATCATGTCACACCCAGACCAAACTTGCCCACCACCGCCATCGTCGAAGCCACCGTCGCTTTACAAACAAAAATCATTGTCTACGGATTTCAACCGCGAGGAAGCGTGGCTTAGACGGAAAGACAATCACCATCACCACCGCCACCACCACCGCCATGGGCTTCACCGGCGGAGCCAGAGTCTGATAACAACCGAAGATATCGACGAGCTCAAAGGGTGCCTCGATCTCGGCTTCCACTTCGCCTCTGAACCGACAAAACTCTCCAAGACGTTTCCGGCGCTTGACCTCTATTACGCCACCTTATCACCACCGACGCCAAGTTCGAATTCGTCAACCACCACCTCCAATTACGGCGACTCGCCGCCACAACCGTGTAGTCCCCATAACACCACCGCCACCACCACCACCACCACCACCCTATTCAATTCAGGTGAAGTATCCGACGTCGTTTCATGATAAAATTTAAAGCTTCATTTTATTTATTTAAATTAATTGTTGCAGGAGAGAATCCCGAGATGGTGAAGAAGAAACTAAAGCAATGGGCGCAGGTGGTTGCTTGTGCAGCACGTAAACCCCCATGTTGCCAAACAGATCCAAAGGATTAAATCATCCATTTATCGTACGATATAATATTATTTTAATTTTAATTTTAATTGTCAATTGTTGTTAAATAAACGTTTTGAATAAACTTTAAATTTAAATTAATTTAATCGTTTTTTTTAACCTGGATATCCAACCCGTTATGCGAGCCAACTAATCTTAGAAAGATCACCTGTTTTTCAGATAACCCGGAGTCATTGCATTTGAACCTCCGTGGCCAAAAGGGAATTTTTATTCCTCCTTGGATTTGAACCTGAGATCTCTCCTGGTACTTTTGACCTTTGAAGTTAAGCTCAAACCAATCAGGCATCACCCTTGTGGTTAATTAATTTAATCGTTACTTGTTATAGGTAGGTTCACTTAAAACGTGACATATTTATCAGAAGCATCACGTGTTATTCATGATGAATATGTGATTTATGATACCGACATCTCCGTATTAATCGTCAATGTACATGAAGAGGCCAACATAGTGCATGGACGTTTGTCGGGTTGGACTTCTAATAGAACGATAACTGTTTCACACACACACACACATATATATATATATATATATATATATTATCTTTATCGATGATTATTTGATAGCATTTGACTAGTTAGGGTCGTTTACTAAACGCTTACTCAGTAAGTTTATATAAGTCACTTTAACTTATCAGATGAACATGACAATGATTAAGAATCTTGCTCGTTAAAAGCGATGGCCTGGTCTGAGGGTCTTATCCGGTTAATAAGAGTAACGACTCTTACCCGGTAAACGTTTACCGAATAAATTGTTACATATGATGTCATTTTAATGAACTAAAAGTGTTACCCGGTAAGTCAAGTGAAAGTGTCGTCGACTCTTACTCGTAAGACTTGAGGCTTGACCTCGATGCAACGCCACGTCTCACGTCATGAAGTCGTTATAGATAACTAGACACGTCAGTCGCACCACTTGTAAACCATTTGGGTGAAATTTCCGTCAAGACGGCCAATGGGACCCCCTGAAACAAATTCATGGGTGACCCGATCAACTTCATGTAGACCATTATAGTCTCACACACATCACTCATACCGTGTAAGTTACCCACTTCAAGTACCGATAATAACATATCAAACCACACAAAGTTATCCATTTAACACCAATCGTCAAATAGAAAGCAAACACTTGAATCTCGATCTAAAATGCATTTCATCAAAAATTAAGCAACTGAATCCCCCTTTTGCTATAACAACTCAAGAAGGTGGACCGATTAAGCAACCTGAACAAGTTGGTAATGTAAAAACATAAGCATCAAACATTTACGTCAAGGCCCTATCTTAACCCAGAATTCAGACCCCAAAACAGGACTAAACGGACTTCAAAACAGATCCTAAATACTCCCAAAAACAGGTCCCAAAAGCTCCTAATCGCAGTGTTTGCCTTCAGAGAACTTCATAGTGCAAGTGAAAATTTCAAGATCTTGGTTCTGAGTTTTGGTATTTGCTTAATATAAAACAAGATCTGCCGAAAGCACCTGTAATAACCGTTTATATGTACATTACACACATGTGTATAGAAAACTTGAAGTATTTTCATATTTTTTGTATGCATATGTATGTATCATATAGGTGAATGGTTATTAGGATGTTTCTCAGTTTTTATTTTTTTTAATATTTTTTTATATGTGTATATTGTGTTTGTATGTGTCTCTAAAATGAAATTGAATGGTGAAAAGTAGGGGTGCTCAAAAACCCGATCAACCCAACGCACCCGAAATAATTCAACCCGAAGTAACCCGATATCTAATCGAGTTGTAAAATTGTCAAACCGTAGGTATCGGGTTGATATTGGGATTGAGTCACTATTATTTGAACCCAACCCAACCCGATGAACCCAGTATCATTTTATTTCTTGGATTTAATATAATTGTTGAATTTCTATTAATATATATATTAGACAATTACACTATGTATACCATGTTTAGTAACTATGAACATATATATATATATGTAAATTGAGAAAATTAACTGAATATGTGATATACTAAGAAGTATGGATAAGTTGTATCAAATGGTTGATGATGAAAAAGAAATTATGAGTAGAAAAATAACATATTTAAGGTTAGAAGAATATTTTGATGCACCAAAGTATCAACCCGATTAACCCGACCAACCCGTAGGGGTTGGGTTGCACTTTGGTTTGGATTGGGTTAAGATTTTTTAAACCGCAAACATTAAATTAAATTGTTCAAATGTCTTCGATCCTATCAACCCAACCCTTAAGAGATAGAGAACCACTAAAGAATGTTGCAAAAGTAGTTCCCTACAGCTATAGTTAAGGGCAGGTATTTTTCTATTTTTTAAATTTGGTACAATTTTTTTAATTTGGTTGACTTCTAAAAGTCAAACTTATAACAATTATATTTATTTTATAATTTTAAATATTTTAAAAAAAATTGATTCAACAGACATAAAACTTTACCAACAATGATAATGCCAAAATTTCTTGTCACGAGTAGGGGTGATAATTTGTACCAAATCAAACCAGTCAGCATGTATACCAACTGTACCAATAAATTTGGTACCAATTACAGTCGATTGGTAGTATCGTATCAAGTATGCAAACTTGATTGGTACATGATATTGGAAGTCATATCACGGTAATACCATGGTACTGACTTTATCTGATTATTTATTAGTTTTTTTTATCTTTTATATATTGAATATCAAAAACTGTAAATTTATTAATTTTGTTTGATCATCTAAACATTTGCAATTAGAAATCCTTAAACACTAGTTGTGTTACTTGGAAACTCAAGATGTCACTCAAAATTTGAACAAAAGGCCTAGTTTTTATATAAGTAACTTGAAGTTGGTACAAAACTAGTACCAACTGAAAAATTCGATACCAATTAAGTTGGTAGTGGTTGGTACGCGTTGTATCGAGAAAAAAAACTTGGTACTGTATCAAGTCCACTCCATTCACGAGGGTAGGGGTGCTCAAAAACCCGACCAACCCAACCCAACGCGAAATAACCCAACCTGAACCAACCTGATGTCTAATCGAGTTGTAAAATTGTCAACGTAGGTATTGGGTTGATATTGAGTTACTATTATTTGAACCCAACCCAACCCAACCCCACCCCATGAACCCGATATTCTTTTATTTCTTAGATTTAATACGATTGTTGAATTTCTATTAATATATACATTAGACAATTAACTATCATGTATGCTTTTCATATACACATATTTTCAATCTATTCACATCTTTATATAACTCATTTGTATATATGTTCAGTAACTGTGAACATATATATGTAAATTGAGAAAATTAATTGAATGTGATATACGTAATAAATACATATAAGTTGTATCAGATGGTTGATGATGAAAAAGAAATTATGAGTAGAGAAATAACATATTCAAGGTTAAAAWAATATTTTAATGTACCAAAGTATCAACCCGACCAACCCGTACGGGTTGGGTTGCACTTTGGTTTGGGTTGGGTTGGGTTAAGGTTTTTCAAACCGCAAGCATTGAGTTGAGTTGTTTAAATGTCTTCAACCCGATCAACTCAACCCATGAGCACCCCTACATGAGGGTATGCTTTAAAGTTCAAACTTCTTAGAACCAATTTAATTTTAAACAAATATTAAATAAATTAAAAAAATTAATAATGATACTAGTATTTAACTGGGTCCAAAATTTAAAATTTGAATCTATATCTCTAAAAAATGGATCGCAACAGATGACAATTTTTTTCTTCTCAGAATTATGTTGTTGAGTTGGCCTCAGATCAGGCAACTCGTGGCCCAAACCATTGCTTGCCATATCGTCTTTAACCAAGGCGAAAAAGAATTGTCCCTTTGAAGCTTTAAGAGCTCCTCTGTCGTGTTTCCGGGGTCAATATCAGAATCAAATCTCGTATCATCTTTATATTCTTGCACCTCACGATATGATGACACTCTTCTTGAGTGTTATTTACACTTCGTTAACGAGTCTTTTTATTCCCTTTTAGTGTGTGATTTTCCATTATGTATTCGTGTTTCCTCTTTTTATTTATTTTCATTTGTAGTTGTTGAGGATAAAAGTTTGTATTTTGATTAGTGTATGTGTTGTTCTTGGAGCTGGTACACTATTGTGGCCACAACGTCACGACTATGGCGAAGAGCTGCACCAAAAGATTTCCGTGCATACTGTTATTTCCAATTGGGTTAAACGGGGAGAATGCAGGAGCCTTACTCAACTCTGTGATATTCACGAATAAGGAGGAGAAATGGACAAGAAAGACGAAGACAAATTAGAGGAAGAAAACACCATGAGAGGTCCCTTTCTCTCTTAAGTCACTTTCTCCTCTCGAGTCTCTTTCAAAGTTGAACGTGGATTAATAGCCGAGAAACATCATTTTGCTCTTGCATTTTCCTCCGGCTAGTTGTAATTTTATTTTCCGCATTTCCATTTCCGTTCACCACTGCTGTTAGCTAACCCCCCCCCCCCCTTCCGGGGTGTGTATATAAAGCAAACCCGAGAGGTCAAAAGGTAACACTTGGGTGTTACCACTTTTTGCAAACCCTTTGGTTTGTTCATTCGAGTTGAAGCTTTAACTCAACATGGACAAGCTGATCACTTATATATGTTAATATTATATATTTGACCTAGAGATGACTGGATTCAAAATACGGTTTGAATGATGTAAGGAGGTTTGAGAAAATCTTCAATAATCACATAGGGATATGGGTTTTTGCATAATCGTACTAAGATTCAGATTTTGGTCGAGTTGGTGTGTCATAGAGATATGCGCATCTCTCAATACTGACGGAGCTAAGATCTTCAAGATCTATTTAGTAAAGTTGGCAAACCAAAGTTAGTAATTGTGAAAACTTTGTGATAAAACCGTAACCACCACCCATCCAACGTAGCTTTGAGAGGAAATCGTGTGGGGTTATTTTGTAACCGATTTTATCTGCCATTTAAGTTATTATTATACTCTTGGGGAAAACTTACATCCATACCCGCTTTTTATTACTTGTTATTTTTAATCCCCACTATTCTCTCAACAACAACCAATTGTAATAAAATCTAACTTTACACCGAAAGTTCGTGAAAATCTTTGATTCTTAGTAAGACCAGTCCCTGTGGATATGATTTTTGATACCTCAACCATTATATTACTTGTAAGCGAACTCAATAATTGTTGTATACTTGCACCACTATTAATAAATAATCTTTTATGATTCAGGTCCACAAGTAATTTCTATGTACATTTTTTTATTTTTTTAAAATTTTGGATTTCTTTTTACTGAGAAATTGCATGAACATTACATTCTCGGTTTAACAATAAAATCTGTAAATTGGTCCCAACACCTGTCCAACCTATATCTATTTTACAGATTTGGTCCCTCACTTGCAGAGGTAGTGATATTTTAGTGATTTTAGAAGAAAAATGACTAAAAGATGAAACCACAAGGACTATTTTAATTAATTTCCCTGTATATGGTTGAATTTGAAAAGAAAAATAGCGAGTTTTATAAAAAAAAATGTGATGGTATTTATACTCGAACAAAATCGATGGTTTACATGACATTGTATTACTAAATCAAACAAATCTAATACATCTCCGCTTGTATGCAGACATGTTCTCTATTATAGAATTGAGCATCCTCCGCTACTAGTCGCTAAAACCTAGGTTTGATACCCAAAACCTCTTGGCAAACCTATATGTGCCTGATTGGTTTGAGCTTGGGCTCTAAAAGTCAAAAGTGTCTACAGGTCCAAGTTCAAATCTAAGGAGGAATAAAAATCCCCTTGTGGCCACGAATGTCTAAATGCGATGACTTCAAGCTATCTGCAAAGCAGGTGGTCATCGTGGGATTAGTCAGTTCGCATAACGGGTTGGATTTCCAGGTTAATAAAAAAATTTAAAAGAAATTGATGATTTATAGAATTAAATAATCATTTTTTGCAACATAAATTAACAACAAACAACAGCTCAAGAGAGAAACAGTGGGGAGAAAGGCAGTTTTCATTCCTTCCCAATTCTAAACATTCATGGTTGGTCCCTGTGAACTTGTTTTATCTTGAAACCTGATAAGAAACCTACAGAAAGAAAGAAACATAAGGGGTTGTTTGGTAGCTACTGAATGGTTTTGTGCAGAATCATTAAGTGGTCAGAATGATTAAGAGGCTCTCATGATAATTGATATAGTGCAAAATGAAATATAATTGTTTGGTAATTGTTTACAATGAAATTAAGGCTCTTAATGGTTATGGAAGCCTAAGATACAAAATCATTCAGAGGGTTTTAAAACCATTAAGAGGCAGACTTTTTTTTTGCTAAACAAGTCAGAGGGTTTTAGAACCATTAAGAGGCAGACTTTTTTTTTTGCTAAACAAGATTCACCTCTTAACGATTCAGAGATTGCCTCTTAATGGAACTATTAAGAGGTAAACAAACAACTGTGTTACTCTGGAATCAAAGAAAAAGAAACCCGAGTGCGATTTCTTCTACGATGGTATAAATCATACAAATTACAACACTCTTTTCATTCGAAGATGATCTACAGGTGAAACGAGCTTGAATCATCTATATTGCGTTATAAACCCATTAGAGATACTGCTTATTGATGCATAATCTCTTAAACTTCAAGTTTACAAATTTACCATGATATATGTTTACTTCCTAAAGCTCCAGGTTGGAACTTCATAAAAACTAACTAATACAAACGTTTACATAAATAAGCGTTGTGCGCTACTAACACCTCAGAAACTCCATCAAATTTCGAATTTTCTTTTTTAAGTGGTTTTCAATTATCTATGCTCATAACATAATGACTATATTTCACTGTTACTTTTTTAGCAAAACGGACAAGAGTGATTATTACGAGTCAAGGGGTTAAAAGTGGACCTTTTAGAACAGTCGGTCTACAAAACTGCTTCTTTTGGAGGATGAGTGTGAAAGAGGCATGGATCATTGCTTGAACTGGTCACCCAGGCCTTGTGGCATTCCTAAGCTCTGTGCGAGATCACCCATCCGTGCTTTCATGGCCTAAAAGTGCCAAAAAGGTGAAAGTTGTAAGGAAGACAGTTTAAGAGGCGATATTATACCGTTATTGTTGTAAGAACCTGAACACTTTTTTGATGGGCATCTCTATAAGCTTCAGTAATCAGAAGTGAGAGTTTCTGCAAGAAATTAATGATTTATATAAGATGTCAAGAAATTATTTCATTACTAACTCCATAAGAAAATAATAAATTCAATGGCTGATAGTCTAATTTTAGTCAAATATTTAGAATCATAAAGTACCCTCCAATAATGATAAACAAAGTATTGTTACCAAACCAAACGAGCACAGTATATCCCACCCGAAGTTGGGGTAGGGTTGAGATGTAGGTAGACATGTCCTCTACCCCAAATAGTAGAGCAGTCATTTATGTGACAAACAAAATATTGTTGACTGCTACTAACTAATATATTTGTATGGACCGATTTAGAGATGGATTCTGCAACATATTTGACAAAATGAACATCTCAAATATAAAGTTATAAAAATTAATACTCACTTCCGGCCCCAACTCCATTGCAGCTTCAGTAATCTCTGTTCTTACAGGTTGCTGATTCCCAGACAGCGTGACCTAAGCAAGCATTTTTAGATATAACACATTAATTTATCAAAGCTCGTCATGGTGATCAAGCCGGAGTTTTACCGGAAAAATCAATCAGTAGCATGTTTTTGGATAAAGGGAACGGAAACCCAATTCTGCTTTGAAACCAAGAAATATGAAAAAACCAAAAATCCCCCCAGATGGTAAACTATCTTTGAATGGTCATAATCGTCCACACTGCAACACTCACAAGATCAGTTGTGGTGCAGTCTCTGGTTTTCATGAATCTTCACAACACCAAATCACCCATCAAAATGCTTCCAAACTAAAAATACTCAAACCCAAGCCAGGCCACTGTTATTCCATTTCAAACTACCAAGTCTTAGGGTCAAACATCAAACAGGTAAACAATATTACAAACTAACTGATTGATTCAGTCAGAATGCAAAGCAAATCAACCACATCATAACAATACAGTTTGGGTTTGTATAGCATATAAAATAACATGTATAGTATAGATATAACTATATTATAAAGCATCTAACAAAAACTCTTAAACGCCATTTTTTATGCATAAAGTACTGTTTATTGATGCATATTACTTAAAATTCAAAATTACAAAGTAGATTGTGCGTAAGTACAACTTATTGAAGCTCCATGTTTGAATTCGTGTAACTGTAGATAAACATTATCAAATACAGGATAATTATCTCATTTTAAATAGAAAAAATCTAAAATATAATTGGGATAATCATTGAGTTCTAACATAATACTTAATTATTATCTTTATAAAAAAATTATATTATTAAACTAAAAATAAATTACTTCATTATTAAGCCTAAGTTAAATTATAATACAAAGTTGAATTAAAGAAATTACACAAAAAAACGAGAACTTTTAAATAGTTAATTTGATACTAATATTGATACAATTTTTTCAAATTTTTGTGATATCTTCAAATTTATATTGTATTCAAAAATAAAAGCATTATCGTTTTCTCAAAACCACATAAAACTATATTACATTGATAGAGACAAAGAATAAAACGAAACATTAAAATTGAGATGTATCTCACTGCATTGTGCGAGTACCCTTCTAGTTTTTTATAAACATAAATGTTTCAACTAATAAGCAAGGTTATGACTAAATGTTGCCTTTAAGGACCAAAAATACAAGATAAATCGACAAGAGACCAAATGTAATAGTTAACTAATACTTGAGTGACCACTTCTATAATCCACTCTAATTTCTGTGTGGCATAATAGCCAATCTCAAAAACCATGTGAAGATAAACCAAGAGAATATAAAAAAACTACTTACCTTTACTAGCTCCCCTTCACAATAACCATCAAACTCGGCTCTGCAAAGCAAAAAAGCCAATGTAAAGCATTTGCATCAAACACAACAGCCCAAATGCAAATACAAGAACAAATGATGATTAAAAAAAAAAACAAATCTTCATCATTTATACGCCTTCAAAAGATGAAAAAAACACAAACTTTTAAATCATTACAAAAAATGAAGTATACATACACCGCAAGTTCTTTTTGCACACGCACTGCCTCAACCTGGACAACCATTTGTGCCTTCTTTACCGTCTCGTACAGATTTTGCATGTTTCCAAAAACCCCTGCCTAAATTCAAAATCAACATGAAATATAATCGGTTTTGATCCACATTTCATAATTTGACCCTACTATGCACGTACAGGCACAGAAGACAATAAAGCTAACTGTGCCTAAAAGGCGAGCCGGACAACCATAGAGTGCGGCTTCCTTTCAGAACTATATTCTATAGCTACTTTCTCATGTTTCAATGTTTATCTTTCCTTATCTTGTTTTTTCCTAGGGACATGCATACTTGTAATGCAGTAAGACAGTGGAAAATGTAAAAATCTAGCCCATGCCTTTCAAAAGATGAAGCAAACCGTTATTCTACTTAAAAGAGTTATGAGTTGTGGAACATCGAAAAAAGGATGGATTAAGGAAGTTAACCAACGTAGGTGCAACATGTAAACATTAGGAGTTTGCTATCCTTGGAAGAGATGGAGCAGACTAGTCTTTGGTGAATTCCTTCTATTGATAGACTTCACAGGTAACAACCCTCTTTCATTTAACAGCTTGAAGAATATGTCATCAGCATCTCACTTGGTCTCATTTTCACGGGAATAGCTAGACACATAGAACTAGCTCACAAGGCCTAACACATGCCTTCCTCATTTATCTTGTTCTGGAACATGCCATGTGAAAATACATAGGCCAAGTTCAAACCCCTTGAGAATAAAAGGCTTGTTGGAGTTGTTATATCATCATCAGACAGAATCCACCATAAAAGAAAACCTGTATCGCATATATTCTTTTTGGGTGTGTGGTTGCTATTTTACATAAGGCGAACTAGGGGGCCACCGGTTCATATGTGACTAGAAGAACCCATAAGACTCGATGAGTAACTAGATATACAAATTACATGTCTTAGTTTCTATGATCAAGCTCGACGAACAAACCCATTCCCAGAAAAACAATTAATTGAAGTTCAATTATGTTAGAAACTGATGTTTACTAAAACACGAGGTAAGGAAAAAAACATAGCAGAGATAACCTTCTATGAAGAAAAGTACAAGCGAGTTCAAATAAATGTGTTGTTTTCAATAACTTTTTGGTGGGCAATGTACTATTACCATATAGATGAGGGTAAAAGAACGTACTCTTTCCATCTCAACAAAATGCAATGTTTGAATAGGCAAATAGTTTATAAATGCATTTGACTATTAATCAAACAACCACAATACCCCTCAACAGTGACATAGTAGTGGAATCTTGCAAACCAAAATTTATCAATAATTTTTATTTTTACTAATGGACAAAGTATTGAACTGGAACTTTGCTAAAAAGAGACTGTTACATCTATTTTTGGATGATCGATAAGCTGTTGCACTTCATTCGGGACGGAGGGAATATTTGTTATTCTTATTACGCGAGGAAATTTCCATTGAATCTTAAATCAACAGCATTAAACTTGGCTGCTAACAACTCAAAAGTAAGAAACTAGGGATCAAGAAGCACCTACTAATGAAGTAGAAAGTGAATCGAAGCAAAATATCTATACAATAAACTCCCACAAATTTAGAAGATAGAAGCTGCCATGTTGATATCAGTAAGGTGTATAATCTTGATTAAGAAAAGCTAGGACGTCCTACACATGCAGCAAAATGTCAAAATTTTACCTTTCCATCATCCTTGTCATTATCTTTCTTTCCTCCAAATAGGGCGAATACCCGAAGAGATCGGCGGTTATCAACAAGCTTCCGATGACCAGACTGAGATAGGGTCTTCATACCAACTGAATTTGGTTTTAGACTTAATTTTTCTGCAAAAATAGCAAGAAGAAACAAGTTTTCACGTTATTCTTGGGGGTCAGGACATGAAAGCAAATGCTTGCGAATTGCGAGAAAGATATCTTCTAACAGTTTTGTCATCATCATGATTTCTTGAACAAAGATTTTCATCATGATTTCTTGACACAAAATAAAATAAAAGTAATAGTGTCTAATGACTGTTGCAGGTATATTGTACAACACATCAACAAAATAGAAACATGTTCAGAATTGTAGTGTCTAGTGACAGTTACATTTGTTTAAAGGAATGGACAAATAATGGAAATCATTGGTGGTTTAGGAACCCTGCAAACAATATCTCATCCTTACAAAAAATTTATCACCAAGACGCCAACCTAACAACATCATTGATTTACAAGCTATTAGGGCATGAATTCAAACAGGATATATATACTCAGCAGCTAACAGATTGTTGTTTCAAGAGAAGGGAAATAGAGAAACAAACAAGATAGGCACTTGTAAGAGAAACCAGGCAACCCAATTGATGGGGATAGATAACAATGCAAATATAACTATTAGCTTCAGCACAAGAATATATGCCCCTCCTATCTGTTCATTGCACTCTTGACTAAGCACTATATTTCTTTTCCCTTTAGAAGGCCTCTAAATGTTGCATCATTTTGTATATGAGTGAGACACTTACATGAAACAAACATATAAGCCCTTCCTCATATGGCTTAACTAAATCCACCATGATCTACTAGGATGGTCCTTATGTGAGAACCAAATTCATCGTTCATAATTGAAGACCATCCACCCAAACCATCAATAACCACAGGTGATTACTATTGTTATGCAGTTACACAGTTATATTTATAAAATTGTGTGAAGTTAAGGGACATGCGACTGCAATGTGTTTGACTGGCGACACCATTGTTAAAAGTAGAAGGATTCATGATAAACAAAAACCTTTTGTATAAAGATGTAAGATTATGAATTAGCTTTACCGAATTCAGAAGCCAGTTCATATACTCCCTCTGTTTCAAAAAAAGCCTAATTTGACTTTCTATATGAAATTCACTTAATTTAGCTCAAAATCGACAATTTATCAGAAAGAATACAACAGATTGTGACACTAATTCAGTATCGAAAATGGAAAGAACAAAAATACACCAACATTAAATTTAGGAAGCAATAGCTTTCGCAATTCAAAGTTCAAATCAGGCCGCTTTACGTCAAAAATCAGCAACCAAATTGCAATGACAGATAGTTGTAAAATTCATAGAGTTGCAAAACCCCGTCTACTAAAGATCAACAAAACATCCTTTTCATGATAATCCCACTCATGGGGTTTAATTAACTCTAAAGAGAGAGAGAGAGAGAGAGAGAGAGATTACGGGAAGAGGAGGAAGATGATGATGATAACGTAACGAACATCTTTCGATCACATGATGCCCCGCCATTAAAGTTGGAAACCTGAGCTGTAAAAGCACTCGCCGACGCCATTTCTGAGAGTAATACGAGGGTTTTCGGAACGGAAGGATAGAGAGGAGTTTGTTTCAAGGATATTTTCTTCTGTTCGTTGTAAGTAAAGTTACCGTCTGTCACTTTTATTGAACTACGGACCAATAGGAATGGGCGGTCACAAACTCACAAACTTCCAAGTAAATTACAGAGTTAGTCCTCGATATTTCTTGGTTTGGAAGTTTTAGTCCATTAGTTTCAATTGTTCAAGTCTCGTACTCAAATACTTAACTAATAACAATTTGGTCCGTGATTTTAACTACGCCTAAATCAAGACATTAAGGAGTCGTTTAACAAACGTTTATCCGCCAAATGCTTATCAGGTCACTTATCTTATCGAATGAACATGATAAAGACCAATAATCTTACCCGGTAATCAAAAAAAATTATTTCATACGATGTTGTTTTGATTAACTAAAATCTTACTCAGTAAGGCAATCGAGAGTATTGTCTCTTACCAGTAAGCGTTTGGTTAAACAACCCCTAAGTGTCATCACGTGAAGAGTAAGCTCACGCCTTCCACTGTAACCATAAGGCAGTCAGGCCAAAGGGTTATGACCAATGTCTTGAGATCTGACCTTTTTTTTTTGTTTCAAGTAAAGTATTGTGGGTTTTTGTAATACTGATTTAACTATATATTTATGCATTGACTTTAATCAGAAGTGCCCAATATTGACATAAGTATTTAGGGTTTTATTGTGCAAATTGTTTGCATTTGGAACGAGTATACAGAGGCTAATTATGTGTTTGAGGGTGGTAACACAGTTGATGTTATTGTATCCTTTCCTTATGTATAAATGCTTTTTAAGGGATGTATGTAAGCAAACTAATGTAACTGATGTTGTAAACATCTGATTACCATAAACTGAATCTGTGTATGTGGATTCACCGATAAAGACACTAATAACCTTGGCAAGGTGTGTCTACAAGATCATAACTGATGTATGTTCAGCAAACACATCTGAAATGTGTCATATGAAGATCTGATGGCATAAAAAGATAAATCAGATATCAAATGAGTAGTTTATTATATGGTCACAATAATATGGTGGTCTGAGCATAATTGTATGGTGCATGAGACATGAGGAGACAAGATGAGACAAAACTCATTATCTCGCATTTGGCGCAATACAGGACAGGACAACAATTTACTGTCTCATGTTTGGTGCGACATGAGACACAGAGACAGACTGGGACTAGGTGGGATAAGATGAGACAAAAAATATTTGTCTTGTTCCACCAAAATAGATGGAATAAGATGAGACAAGAATGAGACATAAACTACAAAAAAAAAACTAATTTACACTCATTTGATATGATTCTAATATGATATTTGCTTTAATGGTCACTGTCGCACATTGTCGCCACCACCACTACCACCTTTGGCCACCTCCACAACCAGGTCCACTTCTACCATCAATACGTTGGCCACAAACTACCTACTCCACTATTGTTGGTCGCTACCACCACCATTGCCCGCTATCTTTACATCATCTACAGTCATAGTCGTCCATGAGCCAACATCGCCTTTACCCCCACCACCATTGTCGTTGCAACAACCTCTACTATGTATATTGCCCACCATCTTTACATCTTCCATAGTCACCGTTTTGTTCACCACCACCACGATCGACTACAACTACACACCACCGCCTCTACCTCCACTCCTGCCTACCACCACTATTGTCCACCATTATTACATCCTCCACATTCACCGTCATCC